TTTACCTCTAGAAATCAAATTCATATTTATATCATCTAACATCATGTCCAATAGACCAAACTTACAAGTAAGTAAAATTCGACATGAAAAATTGATTCTATCATTTTCTACATAGAGTCAACACAATAAATTTGTCATGAGAAAAATGTTTGTTTTGACAATGATAATTTCCATTGACGAAAGAAACTGATTGTCGATATACAAAAAGAACCAAATTTGGAAATATAAGCAAATTTCTTTCTTTACGAAATGAATAATCATCCAAAGAATGATTTTGAATAATATTCAATTTTGTTCAGTTTATTTTTTTCGTGCTACCATAGTTGTAATGGGTCAAATACCATTGTCTCATTCTGGTCCATATGGTTCTCATGTTGCCGATGACGTATCATAACATCAACAAAATCCATCGTTGCAATTATCTTCTATTAGTAATAATCAATTTCAACAATCGATAAATATTCAAACTTCTTCATCTTCATTAAATTCAAATGTTGATTATTTAGATGGAAATTTATCTGAATCATTTTCATTTCAAGTTGCACCATCATCAATAAAAGTAACTTATTTAGGTTTAAAAGGTTATTTATTATATGTATTGGTTATGGGATTTTCAAATAGATAAAAATTTAATTATGACAAACATAATAATCGTTTAAAAATTCATCCATTTGATCCAATGACAGTTAGTTATTATTCAGCTGTTGATTCAAATCGGAAAACATTTACGAATATACTCAGTGCTATTAATGGTAAATAAAAATAAAATCTATGCTAAATTTTTTTGTCTTTTAAATTTAATTTGGTATCATCACTTGAAATTCATAATTCTCATGTTAGTGAAGATAATAATGGTTCATCACTTGTATCTTGTTCTGTATCAATAATACGATCAACATTTAAATTACCCGAACCATCAATACAATCACAAAACTCCATAATAAAAACAATTGATACTGAAAATTTACCTCGACTTGATTTATTTATTTCAACACGAACAACAATGTCAACAACACCGATGTTTTCAAATAAAAACATTTATAATAATACATTAAATGGACAAAATTTTACACGTACAATAACACGTGCTGATCATAATGGAACAATTCAATGTCAAATTGAATCAAATAATTGTAGTGATATTTATATTATAAAAACTGTTTCAATTGGTATTGAATGTAAAATCAAAAACAAAACACGTTTTTTTTCTTTGTAAAATAATAAATTTATTTATTTAGATGGACCTAATTTAGAAACAGATGCACTATCAACAATAAATTTAGAAGGTGAAGTATGAAAAATGATTGCAATGGAATGTCAAATTGAAGCTAATCCAACACCATCATATGTTTGGTGTGATATGATAAGTAATATATCAACATGAATGATGTCTGATTATGGTCAACAACAAAATTATTATGGACGATTTATATCAACTGGACAAACTGTATTTGATACATCAAGACAAATTCAAAGAATTTATCAACATCCAGGTTAATATGCAATGCAATGTCAAGCGCAATCAAGAGGAAAAACTGTTAAACAAGAATTTATTATTACTATTCTTCGTAAGGATTGTTTTTATTTATTCATAACGATAAATGATCTTTAGATATAAATAAATAATGATATTTCATATAAAGAATTTTTTCTTTTGCTCTTCTTTAGCACAATCAAATATGATAAAAACAAATTCTAATGTCGATGGTGCTCGAGAAAGTATATTGATTAAATTCTCTCGAGAATTATTCTTATCGGTTTTTTTTTGTTTTTGATGAATAGAATCTTCGTAAATTCCAATTATTATTGGAATATGTATTGGAAGTAAATTACTTTTACTTATTATTGCTATTATTATTGCAACAATTATCTTTTTACAACGACGAAAAATTAATTCAAATGAAAAGAATTCAATAAGTTGTATGTTTTTTTTTCTTCTTTTATTATTATTTTGATTTGTTAATAAAATCTTTCATTTAGATGAAAAATTACCAAATGATTCCTGTAAATCTCGTTGGGGAAGTTTACCAATTTTCTATTCAAACACCATCAAATCCAAGTCGTCCATCACCAATGACAAGTACACATTCATCATATCGACAAGCTCCATCAACATCAATATCACTTTCATATCGTCAAGCAAGTGTATTACCAGGTTTTCGTCCAATAATTCAAACAAATTCATATTCACCTGAACATGATGATGTTGATGATATAAGTACAAATATTAATTCAATACCATTAACAATCAATCGTTCACGAACAAATACACCATTTGGTTCACATAAATCACTTTCAGAATCAATTCAATCATTAAGATCAAATCAACAACAAACAATGCAACCATTACCTATTAAAAAACGTTTACATGATCAATCAGCACCACGGGTTTAGGACAGTTGCTCGATGGACGGTTGCTCGATAGGGCACTTGCTCGCGAATGACATGATCGCTTAATTTTCAGTATAATAATTCAAGACAAAATTGACTGAACTGATTAGTCTATATGTAGAACACACTGACGGTCATTATCTCTGTAATGTTTAGTCGTACCAGACATTGCATTAATGATATCTGAATGTATATTATTTTAGAAAATAATATACATTCAGATATCATTAATGCAACATCGGGTAGTCAACCACCAAAGCGAAAAAACGAATCATTAAATACACGGCTATACAATTTGGTTCAAAATCCACATACAGATATCAAAGATCAATTAAAATATATCGGACTTTTATTATCGTTGTAGATTGTCTTTTTTGTTTTCCGTTGTTGTTCATTTACTATTGTTGTTATTTAAGAATATTTTCATATATTTCATGCATATATTTACTTCGATATTCGCGAGCAACCGTCCGGCGAGCAACCATCCGCGCGCAACTGTCCGGATCCCCAGCACCACCAATTCTACCAAAACGAGAACAAAAGACACCATCACCAAAATTATTTGATGCAAAAAAAGAGTATCAACATCATTATTATCATAATCCTGAACAATTATGAATTCAACAACAACAAACAAATCAATTATCGGAAAATTCAGCGGCATGTATATTGAATTTAGTCAACCAAAAGAAAACAAAAATAAGAACATATCTTGAGGATTCATAACAATCATTAATCCTTTATCAATCTTTCACTTTATTCCGAATAAATTTACATTTCGTGTAGTAAGTCATAGTCCTCATCCTGCCTTTATCGTTTTTTTTATTTTTCATACATTTCATATTCTTGCTTTAATTGATTATATTTTTTATTATTAACAAGAAATTAATTTAATCCATGTTTTTTTTTGTATACGTAACAAATTCAACAAGATATAATGAAGTTGATTTTCATCAACAACATGGATGTCAAATAATAACACCCCTACCACCATGACACATCGTTCTTCATACACCAAAAGGTTTACATTGTGATCTATTTTTTTTTCTAGATATTTTGTTAAATTATATTTAACAATGTTAAATCCATTTGGTATTAGTCAATTTTGTGATTTAAAACCTTATGATTTAACATTTGGATTAGATCCAGCTGTAATAAATTCATGTCCATCATTGAACATTGCTTTGAGAAGTATTTCATTAATATTAACAAATGAACATATTATGAGTAATTTTGCTCCTCATTTCATCCCGTACAATGAGTATGATGGAAATTTCCCAGTAAGTTTTGAAAAGCTATAACAAAGAATTCTTTGTTTTTTTTCAGAGTTCTATTAGTCCAGATATTATGAATTTAATGAAAACAACATTTACGAATTCAAATCTTCCAAAAATCATCTTATCAGCTGATGTATTTAAAGATGTTCAATATTCTCATGCTATGTATGGTGTTTATAAAGGTCGACAACTTGAAACTGATATTAATGTAATCTATCTCAATAGTGAAGTAAATATTAAATGTGGTTAAATTTGATTTTTTTTTAATAAATAAATATTTTATTTAGTTTGTTACATATTCAAAACAATATAGTGATTTGGAAAAGATTATACAATATGCATCAGTTTTCTTATTTACTATTATCCACGAGATCGGACACTGGGCATTTCACCATTTCAGTTGCAATATGAATCACGATTTATATACACCCAAGGGTAATTTCTCTTCTTATTAACTTTCTAATAATTTTTCTTGTCTATGAAATAGGCGTTCTTATGCAAGAGGCTGGTGAGGCTATTGAAACGATGATTTTTGGTTTTCAACTCTTACACTATGGTCCAGAAGAACCTGTTTATATCGTAATATATAATTAATTAGAAGATAATAAATGTTAACTAGTATTGTTTTTAGATAGATGAGATTGTAACTGACTACAATAATGGATTTCGAATAATACCAGTAACACACTTACAAAAATTATTTCAATCGATTACTTATCAACGTATGTAGATTCTTTTTATACTTTTATTTTTCCATTATATGTATCCCTCGAAAAAAAAAACAACTTCGATGTGTATTTCTCATATATTGTCAGTATAAAAACACATGTTTTTAAAAATAATTGTATATTCCGAAAGTGTGTAGAGTTTTCTGTGATCCTGTATATTTATGTTCTAGTTTGTAGTTATGCATTATCAAAATAAATTGACTGTAATGAAGGCACCTTCGTGTGTAGATTCCCACAAACATGATTTTGCCACTGTTATTAAAATTACTTTTTAAAACTTTTCATCACTATAGAAATACTGTTCTAAAAAACGTAATTATATATTCTAATAGAGATTGAAATTCTCTATCATCCTATACATTTACCGATTCCCTTCCACTTATTGGTTGAACAATAGCTTGAATACGATGAACGTACTTTCAATTAGTGAGTGTCAAAATCTGCATTTTTTCGTTTATTTTTATATTTTTTCTCTAGTTATTATTCCTATAGAAATAAGTTTTTAGAAGAAAATTTTATGTTCTGATGGCACCTGAAATTCTCTCATTCTACATGTTAACATGATGTCTTGATTTCAAATAGCAAAAAAAATGCAGATTTTAGGTACTTATGAGCCGAGGATGCATTCGCTATACTCACATTATTTTTCAACAAGCAAGTGCACGGCAATAGGTGAATGTAAGAAGTGATAGAGAATTTGAACCTGTATCAAAATATATAATTGTTTTTTAAAGGGTAGCTCTATAGTGACAAAAATTTGAAAAAATTAATTTTGATGACAGTGACAAAATCAAGTCTGTGGGAATCTGGACATGAGTGCTTCTGCATTGAATTCAATTTATTTTGATGATCCATAAGTGCGAACTAAAACATAAATGTACGGAATGATAGAAAACTACACGCGCCTGTAGAATGTATAATTGGTTTTAAATAAATGTGTTTTTATAATGACAATAGATGCAATTATACAGAGTGAAATTTTTTTTCCTAGGGATATATAATAAAAAATGGAATTTCTTTTTTAATATGAAGTATTTATTATTATAGATATAAAAGATAAAAGCTCTCTTAAACTTTCTATGCCAGAAAAAAGAAACTTGGCTATTCTTAAACAAGAATTGTCAAAACCTAATTGTAAACGTGTATTTATTCCAAGAGACGAGTACGTATTAAAAGCAACATCAAATTATTTCGACAAATCAACAGGAAAAAAAGTTTTTATTTCGTATGACAAAGTATATTAATTATAGGCTTTTTTGTTTCATTACTTTTTTTTGTTATAAAACATGTTATTTCTTCTGTAATCGTATTGTACAATTATTATTTTTATTATTAACAGAGCATCTCTAATAGTATGCACTATTTCCATCGACATTAAATCAACTGAAGTAAAGCTGAAATTTGAATGTTGTTATTTTAATTAGTTTATTCGAAATATCATGATTAAATATCTTAAAATAGAATCAATAATCATCTTATGTTCAAAATGGAAATTGAAAAGATATTCCAACGCTATAATTTGGTTTTGAGATGGAGTTTTGACCCTAGAGAAATTAAACATACACTAAAAGAAATCAAAAAGTAATACTGAACTTACATTAGATGCACCAAAACCACCATTAAATGTTCCAGCCAACCCCACCGAAGGTCTATTCGAACCACCGCTAACTAAAGGAACACCGATGCCAACATTGTAGCTGCTCGAATAGTTATTTAAATTATTACCACCACCACTTACATACGCTCCTCGTGTTACCTTAAATTTGATTTAGATGTATTAGAAATATTTCATATAAGAAAATATCATTTTACGTTGCCTGTCGTAGCGGCACTTGCAGCAATCTTGGTTGCATCCATTTTATTGAGAGAATTTGCGACGTTATATCAGTGAGTGTTGTGTTCGTAAGCGCAGGAATATAGAACAGCGGTGCAGATATTATACAGTCATAAAACAAAGATGACTAAACAAGGAATTAAAGAGTAAAACAAAAAATATGTCATTATTTGCTTGCACCAAAGTTTTTTCTCACATTAATGATCATAAAAAAGAAAAACACTTCCTGAAAATTCTTCCGACTTTTGTTGTAGGTAAAAGAAAATAAGCAAAAGCTAAGAAGTTATTTTTGACTTCGTTGACAATGTATAAGTATAGACAAATTCTTATTGAAGGATTATTTCTACAAATATTCCAGTTTTTGATGAAACATATTTGACTTTATCCTAACAAATGTTACCTCATAACTATCTCATAACAAAACGAACTTTGAAATAATTTCCACAGGAGTCAATCTGTAAATTAATATTATATTCATAGATATTTAGAAAGAGTAGCAATAAACATTTTATTCGTAAATGATAGATAAAAAAGGTCACTGTACAAAGTACTTATTTCTACTAATCAAAACCATGTTTGAGCGTGTTAAATGTGCTCGATCGTGTGTGTGGGTGTGGATTTGTCAGTTGCTTAGACCCACCTACACCTACACCCTGAACAATTTCTGAAGTGACTGTAGGATTCGTTCTCGTTGACCGATTTCGACAATGAACAAATGATAATAGAATAATGCTATGTTTATTACTGATTATCTTGTCCACTTTAGTAATCTATCTTTCAACAATATATCATTTTCTTTAGGATTGTATTGAATGCATGTGCCTTTGTTGGATAATCTTATGCTGTTAGAAAGGCAAGTTACATTAATGTTCAGTATTGTCCTTTAGACATCCTACTGTAGCTGCTCTTGACTGAAATAAAATAAATTCAAATCAACGAGTCGATTTTTATTAACCGAACAATGTTTTCTCGATTTTAGACTCTAGCAAATTATTCGTTATAACTATTGCTGATGAAGTCTCATTTGAACAGCAGACAATCTAAACATCAATACTACAAAATTTTTCCTTCGCATTTATTAGTGCAATACATTGGCTTTCGTAGTTTTTTATTCGAAAAAAGGGTATACGTGTCTAATGAACGGTATACAATTGAAATTTGTTCTTCCAATGGTATACATTTTCAGTGAAGGATATTAATCTCGTTATATGGATTTCGGTATTGGTTTCAAACTGAAACCTTTCTTCGTGTGCTTATTTTTATTTTTTCATTTTACTAAAAAAAATTTCATGTTTATATTTTGTCATTCTTACAGTCATTACTAACTATTCCGATGTGCTGTAAAAATAAAACATTGTTAGTGTTAAAATACGGAAAGCAAAATAAGACTCCTACTTACCAAGTGAAGTCGAGATAGCCTTTTTTGTGTAATGTGAGATGACAAGCGATTTTTGTATTTATAGTTGTCGGCAATTTTTCTTTTTTTTCAACATGAACCAGCCGAATCAACCAAGTGTGACTATCATTTTATTTGACAGCTTCGTTTTTTCGCATTACTACCTGTCATTTTATGTATAATTTGCGCTGATTATATGCTTTCACCTTACTTTGCTA